CTCAAAAGACATTTCAAAAGCTGGAATTTGGGAGTAGATTCGCTTCTCAAAATTCTATTAATGGTATCTGAAACGTCGCTTCAAACCTGTTTCATCAGTTGAGAATTTAGAACGTGCTCGGGGAACAAGAAAGTGGCCTCGGTATGTCCGAGAAAAAGAGAGGTCAGGGTCGTTTCGTGACTAAACCTTCGACCTAAGAAATCAACAGGTGGGAGGAAAACAAGGTGAAACGTTCCAGCTGTGAATAAACTTAAACGGAGAGAGTTAAACAGTATTATGCAAGGATTCTTGTTTTGCAATGATCGAAATTTGTCAATAGAATCCAGTTGATGATGACTAAACTATTTATGATTTAATAATGTAAATTGATAAAAGTACTGACACTAATGTTTATTTAGAAAGTATCAAATTCGCAATTTTTGATTTATTGTTCGGTTTTCTGATAAATAAATCTGTAAGTATAACTTTATTTATAGATTTAAAGGTATTAAATATTTATTAAGTATTAAAAATAATTATTAATGGATATATTCGAATTCATACAATATATTTCAGTATCAGAATTAGAATATACTGTAGTATGTGTGGAAGCGTGTGTAAATACAGTATATATAGAGCAAATCTTCACTTAACGCCGTCGATAGGTTCTTGGAAATTGCAAAGTTAAGCGAAACGACGTATAACGCGAAACAAATTTTACCATTAGCCAGATAATATAAACAAGAGTTAAGTTTCCTATTGGATCGTGTTTCAAACCTCCAGTATTTAATTCCCATCTCATTCAATCAATTTTATTATTTATAAAGAAAATTCAACAGCAATAATTGAAAATGATTACGATATCACTTGTATCTTTCCTCAACAACGTTATAACGAAATGATATTAATTGAAGACTTGCTGCATATAATGGCAGGCTCGGTTTTGAGGCTACCCTCGCGTTCAGAAAGGGTATGTTCCAAAGCTCAACTGCAAATCGCCGATGATTAACTTAGTATGACGTCAAGACCAATTCAACGCTAGCGTATTCAAGAAACGGTTTGTTGAGAGAAAACTGTAATCAGAACGAAGATTGAGAACAAGTAAAACACGTTAAGTTTATGAAGTTCACGATTTCTACTGTCGTACCGTTAGAAAATATTTATTTTTATAAATAACTCTGACAATAATTACTCTTTGTCGCGAACTTTAAACGTGTAAAAATGGATAAACATAATTTAATTTATTAAATTATTTTCATAATTACCCTACGTATAAAATTTTAAACAATCGTTTAAAATTTAATAGGTAAGTTCTATCATTTTTAACGAAATAAAATTCTTCCACGGTATCTTTGACGTAGTTCAACACACTCAATAACTTTCGGTTACGATGAGTGTGTATTTAAATCTGTTGAGCTCATCTTTGGTTGATTTGATGAGATTTGAAACGTTTTGCTGAAATCATTTCGTCATTACTGATTTTTAAGGTTGAGCTTTGGAACGCAGCTAAACATTTAAAATCATCAGACCGTTTTAACACTTTTGAGGCCTCAACCCGATTTTTTAAAGTCATTTTTCAGGTACAGACTTTAGAACAAAAATATTAATAATGAACAATGGGATGAAGCCTACTCCTAAGAAAGCAAGGCACCCCCCGCCATACCCAAGCGTTAATTGCGACCTGAAAATCATTAAGTTTAGCAGTTTACTTTGTATTTTCATTTATTTGCTGCGCCTAAGGCTTAGAGCCCAGAATGGTGGGCTTTCTAACTTGGGGCCTGGATGGTCTATATTTAGAGCCGTCATTATGTTTATAGATATATATTTACTAATGGGCCCATTTATATATTCAGTACAGACTTTATTATATTCATAGAGTAGGCTACATAACGAATGTATATCAACAGATATTCAATAAATAAATATTTTTTGATCTAACGTGTTGTAAAATCAAAAATTTTATTATATAGTTTTTTAAATTTTATCATAAAACTTAACAAATAATATAAAAATAAAATAATAAAAACCAGTCTCGATCGACCTGCTTCGACTAACAAGTAAGCAAACAGGTGAAGAGAGAGGGGAGAGAATGGTAAGTAAAATGTAGCAAATTGATATCGATTCTTCGAAGTATAAATACGAAATATGACAATCTTCGAACATGCCTTATCACTTAGAACTAAATAACAAAGCAATCCTTATTAGCGGGGCTACAAACAACCTTAAAGAAGCATTCAGACAAGTGAAGCTACAGAATAACGAAAGAATTTCTAGGGAAAAAAATAACCAAGATAGAAAAATTCGTCCTATAAGGAAAGTAAACGAATTTTTATAAGATGCTGTATAGAGATTTGTCACAGGCGATCGATTCTGGATAGACCTATATAGATAACCAAGTCAGACCGGTCTTGTAACATTTCGAGTTTGAAATCAAAATAAAAAAAAATAAATTATCTATTAGCCACCAAAATTGATTGCGTAAGTCAAACTACTTCACCTAGTCGCCATCAGATAAGATACTGACCCTATTGTTGAGTGTAATGAATGAGTAATATTAGACAAACGATCTGAAACACTCGGTGCATGATACGAGCGATCGCTGCTTTTATATACGTAGTTAATCGCGTGCAGCAAATATGTGGATGAAGAAAGCAAATCTTTAAACTTAAATAACATTGAAATAAATCGATCGTCATTCCACAGCATGACCTAGTCGTACCAGAATATAACGTGACACCAAGGTGAGCTGACCGCACGTAAAAAATCTTTCAACCCTTTAAGAAGCGACGTCTAAGACGGGCACGACTTAAGATCTTACTCAACTGTGATGTATGCCATAATATATTAAATTTGATAATGGATTACATTAATTAAAGTTCATCTTTCAAGAAATTGTGCTCTTTTTTTAAAGTAGTTTTATATTTACGAACAAAACAGGTTTCGGTCTGAGGCAATCTGTTCTAGAAGCTTTAGAAACGATTTGTTTAGTCGCAAGTCAGAAATAGCATGTAGAAGCGACTGTTTTTTATCAAGTTTAAAGAATATTTATACAGAATTCTATCCAAACGAATGCTATTTATATAAATATTAATTAATTTTTATATAATGTGTTGCCGTTTTTGTACGCTCGAATTAAAATAGGGGTTAAGAGGTAGTGATTTTAGGGCATCATTGATCTGAGAAGGTCATTAATTAATATCAAGTTCATATATTTTTTCTCATAAACCGAAACAAATGAACAATTAACTACATATACGATACTGTAATTATATAAATGCAGAAGCCTGATATTTAAGAATATTTTAAAATTAAAAACAGTCAAGGAAGGATTTAATGTTCTGCATAAATGCATTTCTATATATAAAACACAATCTCCATTGTTCAATTAAGTTACAACTGCAAGCTTTTTTATTTAATTATGTTATTATTATTATTATTATTTTCGATTAGATTTGAGCTATATTCTATATTTAAACAAAAGTTTAAGTGATAATAAAATAGGTTAAAGGTGTTATATGTAACTATTTTTTTAGACCCGGCATTACGAAATTGGTTTGACGTTCTCGTTTTATATGATTAAATTTAAGCTTGTAAAACCAGTTAATATGTAAAGAAATAACCTAAATCTTATTTACTTGAATATTTAATTAATTAAATATTATAACTAACAGAATTTCACTTTAACTAACTGTACATTGTCTAAGATAGAGGTTTGTAGCTCGCATTTTTACTGTTATGACTCCAGATTTGATTTATTAAAACTAATATAAAGATAAAACTAAGAATTCTATTTATTTACAAGGAATTTCTAGAAAATAAATGTCAAAATTATAATTTTTATAACCATATTTCTTTATAATTTTAAAATATTAATCCTACTGCAATTTTTGATAAGTAATAAGTATATAAGCAATATAGGTTTCTTTTTTGAAAGCAAAAAGGAGGTTGGACTAAATGTTAAACCAGTATTCACTAGTATGGCGAAGGTTACCAGAAAGAATGAGAAATGCCTAAAGGTATCTAAGACCTACTCTTGAAGAAGTCACCTTTAAACAAATAGAACCTTACGTAGAGTCGAAAGAAAAAAAGGAAAAAAATGCATAAAGTTCAATTATATTCTATGATGCGTGACGAAATCTTATCCCATTTTTAGTATTTTCAAAAAAAATATTGATTATAAAACAACTGCATTTATATTTTAATTCTTGAATTCATTGTGGCGTGTGATAATTATTTCAAAAATTATTTCTAATTGCTTCTTTTTTGGCTTACTAATGTTATGGTCTGTCGAATCGCAAAATAAAACAATTACTCTTATAAAATGATTTTCGTGTGCGCAGATATTTAACTCACCTGCCAAAAAAAAGGCAGTTTTCTAGTAAATCTAGTACAATTTCTTTACATAACTTCAACTAACAGATTGATCATGTTTTTCCAAATCAAACTGGCCCCGTATATTGTCAAAGTTTATGAATTGTCACCATATTTAAACAATAGTTCTTACAGGTTTAAAGTCTAAAGGGTATTTAGATTAAATTACAACTATATAGCTCGACTATCTTCTTCATTTAAAATTAAAAAAGAAAGGTTCATAGAACAGCCAAATATTGAATATTTATAAAAATTTTAAATATACAATTAACACCTGGCAGGAAATTATTTAAAATATCAATATCAATATTTATATAACTGAATTTAAATAATTTCCTTATAAGCATGAAAAAAAGTTAAGAGTTTGGAAGTGTTTGTGTACGAGTGTTTCTTAAAAGAACTTAAATATTTTAGAAAGAAAAAGTAAATAAGATACCACGTGTCGAAGAATCTTCAAGATAAACGTGACTTTCAACATTATATACAGTACATACTTGTCTGACCAGTTCGCTCTGATTTTTTCCCCCTTAAAACTTAAAGACAAGTAACATGGAAGATAAAAAGCAAATGAATAATGATAATAATAATAGAATTGCTTTATATTACTTTATATTTGATACACCACATTAAAGAAAAACAACCTTCCTTACCCGTTTCTTTAAGACTTTATACCGACTTTTCTTGGATTTTGAAGGTAGTTTATGATCTTCGTCCGATCCATCGATTGCTTTTGAAGTTTTGTTCTGCGAAGGATTGGAATTTCCCATTTTTTCACGTTATTTAGTAAAGGCACAACATGAAAGTCGACGTAATTCCATAGTTTTAAGTTCGAATTATAAACAGCATCGAAAGACATTTAAACATCTTATATATAAAAACAACTGATCTTCTCTATACTTCAGACGGAAACGGTGACTTCAGATGCGCTTTTTACAACTTGGCACGATGCCACACTTCGTACGAAGTTATATAATAGATAAAATAGACTATTTACATTACTTTCCACTTATTTAAATCGTCGTACAATAATCCTTTGAACTACGCGAGTTGTTTGTGGTAAGTGAACACGCTTCTGTCCGCCATTGTTTGTTACAGACGACCGACTGTCCATAGTCATGACAACGAACCACGTGACTATCGCCAGCAGACGAACAGTCCAGTACCTGTTACTAAAGCGCCCCCTGCAAAACTAGATTTCTACTCTTTTTTTTAAATACATATAACTTATTTATATTAAAAACTTCCGTATTAAGAAAAATTGTTAAAATTATATTTATAGATTTATTATTAAAATTACACAGTATTAATCTGATGTAACACCTGTTTTTTGTTTTAATTTAAAAAAAAAACAATTTGAAAAAAATAATATATGTATACTGTATTTGTATGTATGTACAGTACGTGTGTATGTATATTTTATTTATATATATAATGTTAAAAGTAACTGGTCGCAATTAGATTGGTTATGTACGCGGAAATATGGTTAAATTTACATTAAATATAAAATGTTCAATAAGTAGATCGAGAGGTTAAGAAGAAAAATTAATGGGGAGAATGTATTAAAATCCAAATAAATACTTAACAAATTGCGATTTATTTATAAAGTAATGTTATATTAAAAAATATAATTTTAAATAAATAACATAAAAATAAAAATCTGCAATATTTTTGTGTCATAAGTTTTCATATAAAAACTTGTTCTTATGTTAGAAACAGATTGCTCAAAAAGATAAAAATTATTGAATAATATCGTAATACTTTTTTAAATAAAAAAATGAATAGCAGATATAAAATTCAAAACAAATCTAAAATATTATTTTTATAAACCTTAAAAAGTTAACTTATAAAAAATAAATAATTATAACCGCTTACAAATAAATATATAATTTATTTATTCTTANATTTATATATACAGTATTTACAACTACATATAAATATTTAATTTTTTTTCTATAATTTTTAAAATTCTTTTAAAATGATAAAATATTAAAAATCAGATTTTGCAAGTTTTAACTTTGTAATATTTTAAATGAATTTTATTGCAAATAAATGCTGTTTGCGTAAAGACTAATTTATATATTAAGAAATAACTTATGTAACAACATAAAATATGTAAATTTTTTCAGATTTTCAAATAGATTCATACCTTCAATCAAATGATAATGATTTTTAAGTATTAAATTATATTTTTTACTTTAAAACTTTATGAAAAAAAATATAAATTTATATGGAAAACATATAAAATGTGTAAATGTACTGTAATATGGACATTGCATATGTTTACATGCAATATAGATACTCTTATGAAAAACATTTTATAATATTGAAAGATATTTAGAAATATGCCTTTTGACAATATGAAAAACATGTGTAATATGTACATTCACATAAAAAAATATTTTATAATGTGAAAAAATGTGTGAATATATAAATATATATATGTGCAGTCATACGAAAAATTTTTATAACTGATCTTTCCAGTATAATTAGCCTTGAATAATTATTCTTGAAAGATAAATATATATCTATATTTAATATAAACTGGATTTCTTCTTATGCATAACTTAACGTTTATATTAATTTCGTTTAATGTCAAAATTTAAATTTAAATAAAATCATAAAATATAAGTTGTTTGGTCATGTATATCCTAAATCAAGTCAGTGGGAAAAAATGGTTATGAAAAACTCGACAAATCATGGCTATCTTGTATATTATTTCTACGTTCGAATCACGAATTATGTGGAATTTAGTTCAGTATAATTATTACATTTTCATCATATCGTAGATCTGAAGAAAAGTAAAATGAAGCCTAGGTTAGTGACAAATAACCCAAAATCCTACAAAAAGCATAAAAGTATGAGAATGAAATCATATTTTTCACCAGTTATCAAAACCAACTACTTTACATCAAAATATACAACCATTATACACTATATAATGGTAACAGAGACCCCAAAATGGGATGGACAGTTATGATTAGGGATGGATCTATTGTCTTCCCTAATGTAACTAGATATATATGTATATAGATGATAATATGCCGAAAAAATATATTTAATAATTACGGTAAACAATATAATTATATCTATAAAATACGACTTTAAAGATATATATTAACAAATTATTGTAAATCATTGTTAATGTGTCTCGTACCCTTGTCTATATATAAACATGTATCAGTAGAAAACAAGACCAACGTAAACAAAAAATATTTATCATAAAAGGAAGAGACTGATAGAATAAAACTAGAAAATATGAAAATTTTGTGAAATTTTATTATAAAATAACATTTTTTGGTATAGTTTCCCCTTTTCAGACTCCAATGGGTTATTAAAATACAAAACATGTTTGGGTTAATCACTGTCAATGGCTCAGTTGTCATTACATTAAAGTTTTATAATACGATTCATTGATTTGGGTTATTTAGCGACACTCTCATAAGGAAAAAATTAGTAAAATTTTGGATGCCAAGAAACTCGTCTAGTCTGAGACAGTACAGTCTATGGAATGTCATGAGGGGGGGTCAAACTTAAATTCTCTCCAGCTGAAGTTGCCCAACCCTAAATATCAAAAATTCTTACCTTCTACACTTAAGTTAAATGTATAGACTATTCATATTAAAAAAAATTAAATCCATTTTTTATATGATAATCGTAAATAATTATAAACTTTAAATTAATAATAATAATAATAAAAANTATCAGTCATTTACAGTAACACAAACACATACACATACACATACATATATACATATATATACATGCATATATATTATGTATATGTATACGTATATATATATACTGTATACATATATATATATACAAATACTATACATACTGTATATATATTACAACATTATTTAAAGCTATATATATATATATAGCTAAACATATATATATATGTTTAACTTAAATAATTGTAATTTATAAAAAATATAAATAAATTTCTTGGATGATTGATTAATTATAATTTAATGAGAATATTTTATGGACGTGTGCATTTATAACATATGCAATAAACTTTAATTAAAGTTAGCGAAACAAATTTTTTCCTGTGAGGTTAATTGTATATACAACTATATACGTAAATATATAATTGTACACGATAAACTATATAGATAATAATTTATTTCACGTTATTTTTAAAATTAGAATTATTATTTTAAAATTTTTGAAGTATTTTTCAAATTTTCAGCATCTGTAAAATTACGTCATTTAGCACGTTCTGTAATAATATTTTCTAAGAAATTGTATTACATTTTTTATAATTTATTCCAAAATTGTTATTATTTTTAAGATTTTGAAGAAAGATAATAATAATATCTCAAAGTACAGGATTTTGTGTTTAATAATTAAATAATTTTTAAAAAACTCATATTGTAAACACATACAATACTAAATAAATTTTGTTTTATAATTATAATAATATAAATTATTAAAAATTACTCTTTATTCAATTTATTAAATATAAAGTTACTTTATATATTTATTTACTTAAATAAATACAAAAAGAAAAAAAAGTAAATAATTAAAAAAAATTAAATAATTGTATTTTGTCGCCATCTATCGTCGATAGTTAGTAGATAAAATTTTTAATATCTATTTTTATAAATATATTTTATTTCACCCATTAACATAAATATCACTTGAAAACTACTCTACTTAAACAATTTAATAAGATAAAAATAATTATTTCTCAATACAAGGCAGTTTTTTATATACTTTTTTGAATCTTTATTTTGAATCATCCTGCCATCTTCCGGTACGATTTAAAAATCAATAATAAAATAAATAATTTAAAATAATAATAATTGAAATAATTTAATTTTAAAACAATTTATTAACTAAAAAAAAATGTATTAAAATATTGCAATTAAATTTTAATTACAATAACTTTTAGAAATAGAACTAAAACATGACCCAGTTTAATTAATGCACGACTCGACATTATGCACTTTTAATAGTTATAAAAATATATTTAATAGATTTTAAAACATTTTTTATGAGTTATAAAAGCTGAATAAAAAGTCACAATAAGGGAGTGTAGAGTTATAAAATGGAAAGAACGCACCTTGATAGGAGGTAATACAGTTACACCACAAAAACAAGCGCGATGAAACATGATGATAAAGCTGAAAAATAATATAATTTATCGCTTTATAAATATATGATATACTTTGTAAATATAATAAATTATCATATTATACATAAAAAATTATTTTATTTAATTAAAATATTATAAAAATTAATTTTTTTTTTGTGTTTAGAGTAATAAAACATCATCATTAGTTAAGGGTGTATATAAAAGAAAAATATAACAGGATATTTTATTGTTCGTGTCACCACGTTACGCTATAATAAACGTAACAAATAAAAGAAAATAATTCGAAATAATACAAAATATTTACTGGAATCAGAACATGTCAGGTATATAAAACCTTTTTAACTTTGTTAAGTCTTTTAAAAGGTTTACATAGCGTAAAGAAGGAGTTTATGTTATACTTTGAAAAAGATAAAAGGTAAGTATCAAAGTTAAAAAACATTTAAAATATAT